TTGATCAAGTCGTGGGTGCCCAGCCAATCTCACTCGGCATTATGCATTATGTAAGGCCTGAAATCATATATTGTCATTATAAGGCGTCCCACCAATAATGTCATTATAGGCGCCCCTCCGGGATAAGGCACCTCACAGATCACACCATTTTGCGCGCCCCATCAATCACTTTGTGGTGTTAATCGTGTGATTCGTTAAAGGGGCGCCTCACCAAAGTCACTCGGCTTTATGGAGCGCCCATACTGATATTGGTCGTTGGCTTTCGTATTGCGTTCAATGGAAAGGGCACCGAAAGGCCATCGGGCCGCCGATTGTTTACAGGGGGGCATTAACACATATTTTAAGTTTTATCTAAATCATACAAAGACCGTGGGCTAAAGAGTGTCAATAACCTTTGTATGTGTATCAATGCTCTGCGATTATTTGAAAAATGGGGTGGTGCAATTTCAACGAAAATCGAACTCATCCGTTATTGTAGTGTAATAAGGGTCCACAACTATGTACGCTTTTTTCGTACAATTATAAGCAATGATCCATGAAGTTACTATCGGATATGTGTCAAAATCGGAACAATCCGAGATCTTTGAGGTATTAATAGAATATATTAACGTCTCTCAATGTATTAATTTCTAATTAACAGTGATGTAATTCAATTCCCTAAAAAAACTTTTCAAAGTTTTCTGTTTTAAAAAGGTAGGTTCTCAGCTGGTAAAGAAGGAAAATTTCATAGTCATGTTGGTGATTGGGGTGGCAGACCCGTGATGTTGATTGGGAATTCATTCATATCTATCTACTATATATATCTTGTTGACATTGTTACATATCATGTCTGTATTTTACATTATTTTACTGCATACTTACGTGTCGGCTGTGATATGCAAAGGTATAACCGTCATATCTATCACTGTGTAATTCATTCCAGAATGGAAAATGGGATTCGGTCTTCAATTACAAAACAAACAAGTTAATGCTTTCATTAATTTAATTAATTTTATTCCCTGAGTAGTTTTTGTTTATATATTCATATATTATATAGGTTTAGTTATAGGATATGAGTTTTAATGATCTATTATTTAAACAACAATTTACACAGGGTACAGACAATAACTCGAAAGTGAAGAATCTATGTGAAGAAAATGGCTTGAAACTTTAACCATTCTGATAAGTGAGTCATCAGGACTACCATATGTTGTCCATGCCACATGTCATTGAAGATAAACACTGACCAAATTCCCACCAGTGTCTAATCAACTTCTTTAAATCTACGTCGCATATATTGTCCACTGCATTGAAGGACGATTGGTGACTACCGATGCTGATTATATCCTATGATATATCAGACTAATTCTGTATGGATTCCATAGATTATGTCCTTCTCTGGTCTGGAGCATGCAGATTTGACTCTGATTTCTTAGACTACCCCATTTTCCAAATGGCACATCTTTCAACACAATCAGTTGATTGAGACTTCACACGAGGGTTCTATTGTTGCAATAACCCACAAAGATAGCCTTTGTGAAATAGTGTGATTTGGAAAGAGAACATCGGAAATAATAAATGTAAATATATAGGTAATTGATGGCGTGTATGTAAAGATAATCAAAAGAACTGAACTGCTAGCGTCAACTGTTCCTTTGATATCTTAAATGGAAAATTTATGGTATTGTGCATAAAAAACAAATCTTAATTTTTATGACCACTCGACGAGCCGTAGTTCTTAGCCGATTTTGTTCAAATTTGGCATGCTTATTCTTTCATAGTGGGGATAGCACATGTCCAGAGGCAGTACCACGTAATGTTTGAACCGTGAACTCTCTACATGTCGTAATGTAGCATTATGTAGCACTAATCAAAAGTGCCCCGATGTTATGGCCGACACTCGTAACCATTTTTCAGTCTATTATTTATGGATGGTTAAATGTCATAGCTTATTAAGTACAACATCACCGTTTATTTAGTGACTATGAATGTGCGAAACTGATTTAAGGCTTGGTATATATACTATTCAAAAAAAGTAGGGGATATTTGATTTTTAAGTGTTATTAAAGTCACCTAATGAAACTGACGAAGAAACAAATGACAAAATGAAATGAAGTTCACATTCATCGATTTATTCCAAATGATCGTTAGACTAAGTAAGGCACAGACTGACCATTATAAGGGTAAAATGATACCCGGGGTCAAACAGCTAAGTTACCACAGCATCACAACCAAGTCAGTAACGGGTAAATCCTCCTCTGTTTGCCAAACAAGCATTGATCCGACGTGGCATACTCCTAATGAGACGTCTAAGGTCATTTTGGTCCAGATTGTCCCATTCCTGTTGCAACGCAGCAGCAAGTTCTTGGACATTGGCAGGACGTTGTTGACGTTGACGTAACCTCTGTCCAAGCATGTCCCAGACATGCTCGATGGGGGAGAGGTCGGGACTCAGTGCTGGCCAAGGTAATGTGGTGATGTTCTGTTGTTGGAGGTAACCTGTAACGATCCTGGCCCTGTGACATCTTGCGTTGTCATCCTGGAAGATGAAACGGCGGCCATGACGTCGTGCGAACGGCACAACATGGACTGCCAAGATGTTGTCCCGGTAGTACTGGCCTGTAACACGCCCTGCAATAACATGTAAAGCCGTTCTTCCAGCAACAGTGATGCCTCCCCACACCATAACAGAACCACCCCCAAATCGATCATGTCTGATGACGTTAACGTCTTGGAAGCGCTCGTTTCGACGACGCCACACCCTCCTACGTCTGTCCAAAAAATCAACAGTGAACCTTGACTCATCTGAAAACATCACATTGCTCCAGCGTCGATTATCCCAGTGTTGACGATCCCTACACCAACGACGTCTTGCCTGAATGTGATGATCTCTCAAACAAGGGATCACGCGAGGACGTCGGGCGCGAAGGTGACCCCTATGCAGTCGATTCCGAATCGTCTGGCCACTCACTCTCACACCAGTGTCTGTTTGAAGACGAGCGCTGATCTGATTTGCTGTGATGACACGATTTCTCAAGGCCAAGGTACGGATAAATCGATCCTGGGCTTGAGTTGTCGCCCTTGGTCGACCTGAGCGTGGTCTGTCCTGTACAGATTGTGTATCACGGTATCTGGACCATAGCCTGCTTATGACAGACTGAGAAACATTCATCGTCCGCGCCACAACCGCCTGTGTTGTGCCGATCTGTAGCATGCCAAGGGCACGTAACCTTTCATTTTGGGTAAGCCGACGCATATCAAAATTTATTTTCTGGTCACTAAAACAATTAAACTGATGTTTCCACCCTGGAATTCAATGCCACAATGACTGTAACATTCAAAGTCAGAGTCGTGCAAATCTTGGGTTGGACCCCCATGATGATCCCAAGCATCACCTGCATTCCATGCGGTAGCTATTGGTGCGTTTGGGCGTCACATGTAACTGGAAATGTTTCTTCTGTTAGGTTCTATAGTGACTTTTTTCGTAGTCATTTGCAAATTTTAGTATTATGCCCCCAAAATCAAATATCCCCTACTTTTTTTGAATAGTATATATAAATATTGTGGTGTAATTGTCAAGATATCTGGAGATATTTATTTATGGTGAGGCACGCTAAAAATATGTAGCAGAGACGAGAGTATGCGTCACACGTTGGGTGTGGGGAGCTTTTCGATAGAGTGCCTTTCCACATCTAACCAACGACTCATAGCACTGCATATCACTACATATTTGATTTGGGTGCCGAACTGCATAGTGCTACATATTACATTTGGTGTTCGTGACTCAGGACCCTCGCGTATTTCGCCGAACATAAGTGATTAGAAATTACAGTAAAAACAGAAACGATTGAATGTAATTCCCCTCAACTGTTTGATTAATTAAAAGTGTATTAATTTGAGAGAAGTCTGACATTTACGACTTTTACTAATCTATAACACAGACGTAACAAAAGGGGGGAAATGATTTATCTAGGACTATCAGTCACCACAAATAAAACGACCGAAGGCCGAATTATTATCTGGAGGAAAGACAATTATGGGTTCAATTTCATATATCGTAGTTCATACAAGTTAAATAATTCTAATTATCCTTCACGTAACCTCTTAATATACAGTTGAAATGAAATGAAATGGGGTTTAACGTCCTACTGTTCTGCTCCTATGCTGGGCTAATGAAGACGGGCATACGCCATACAGTGTGCTATGGGGGAAATTTTGCCCGGGCAGCGGCACTTTCGCCTACTCTTATATCGAATTCCAACTGCCAAGGGATCTTTTACGTGCATTCCAATGTATACACGGGACCTCGGTTTTTCGTCTCATCCGAAGGACTAGACAACTGTCATTGTCAGGCCTTCCGTCCTGCATCACTGACAAGGGGGAACCACGCCGGAAAATATGGATGAACTTTCTCGGCCAATGCAGGGATCGAACACCCGAACTCCAGCGTCTTACCCACTTAGCCACGTGATCCCCCTTAATATACAGTTGATGCCACGTTTTAAAAACCAGAAACAGAAATTTTACCCCCTAATTCCCCTCAAATGTTAAATTAATTAAAAGCGTATTAATTTGAGAGAAACCTGACATTTACGAATTCTACTAATCTCTAACACAGACGTGACAAAAGGGGGGAAATGATTTATCTAGGACTATCAGTCACCACAAATAAGGCCGAATTATTATCAGGAAATGAAATGAAAAAAAATGAGGTTTAACTTCCTACTGTGTGCTATGAGGGTAATTTTGCCCGGACAGCGGCGCTACGGCCTACTCTTAATCGAATTCCAGCTGCCAAGGGATATTATACGTGCACGGCAATGTGTACACGGGACCTCGTTTTTTTGTCACATCCGAACGACTAGACAGCTGTCCTTGTCAGCCTCCGTCCGGCATCACTGACAAGGGGGAACCACGTCGGAAAATCTTGATGAACTTTCTCGGCCAATGCGGGGATCGAACACCCGACCTCCAGTCTAGCGAACCAGCGTCTCACCCACTTGGCCACCGCGGCAACCGTTATCATCAGGAGGAAAGACAATTATGGGTTCAATTCACCCGCCCTCCCATGTATTCAAACTTTATCAACAGCCGGTTTATTTTGAGAGATTAGATATAAAACCATTTATAGATGTCACACGTTGTCATCGGCTCATATTTTGACCCACAGCTGTAAATAAGGTTAAAGCTATTAATAGACTAGATAATATGCAATAAAGTATACAAACCACATGATTCATCACATGACGTTCAAAATGGCGATTCCAAGAGTGATGTTTGTGTTTTTTACACTTGTTAGTGTATGTTATGGCTTTAGCGATAATCCAACAGCACCGCCAGTATTTCAAGTAGATTTAGATCTACAACCATCTGTACGATGGGGTCATATAATCCAGAAATATCATCAAATCGTCAAGGATTCGCATGCTGTTATCAGGTAACAGGGACATAAAACTGAAATAAAATGTGGTTTCGCTCCCTGCTTTTCCGCATCGACGGGAGTGACGGATCATGGCGAGGGCAAAGGGTAAATGCCTCGGGCCAGGGCCCTGGAGGGGCCCGGCGATTTGGTGACAAAAGTGGCTGTTTTTTTCGATGAGTTTTTAATTTATTAGATAGGGCGACCCCAAGAGGCATCGGACATACTCCACAGACGACCATCATTTCAGGTCGAAATTTAATTTAAACAATCGGTCCCGGGTCCTGGAGGGGCCCAGCGATTTGGTGACAAAAGTGGCTTTTTTTTTCGATGAGTTTTAAATTTATTAGGTAGGGCGACCCCAAGGGGCATCGGATATACTCCACAGGCCACCATTTCAGGTCGAAATTTGTTGCGTGTAAGGGGCAGTGGCGTGCAGAGATGGTGGCAGAGCGGTCACATATCTTAGCGGTGGAGGGCGGCGGTGTTTGTGTGTGTGGGGGGGGGGGGGCTTACAATCAAAGTCAAAGATTGAAAGTAAGATTAAATTTTATTTCATGTTAGCTTTATCGTAGGCCTACCAGCTGTTGTATATTTACTTTGAATAAAAAATTTATTTTTACATATACTGAGCGCCATGGAAAACGCATCACTTAGTTTTTCGTATAACAAAATGATCCTGTAAACATATCTTATTTATTTTGCTTCTTATTGTGAACAATATTCAAATGGGAACACATCGATAACAACACATTTGTACACTTATGGATGTTTAATCTGTAAATAACGGTACAAAGTCAGAGGGGTCAAAACCAAAAGTACTATACAGATGTCAGTAATGCGTGTTTCCTCCACGGGCCATCATCACGGTGGGCTACATCATTAACGCGACCCCTGCAAATGTGTAGGGCGGTCCGGTGATGAAATGTGAAGCCTCTCCACACCATCACACGTCCCCCACCCCATCCAATCGTTTCGAAGACGCAGCAGTCTGCAAGACGTTCCCCAAGACGTCTCCACACACGTTGACGGCCATCAGCGTGAAAAAGATGAAAGCGACTCTCATCACTGAAGAGCACACTTTGCCAGTCTACTCTTCTCCATGTCTGGTGTCCTTGAGCCCATATCAAACGCCGCTGACGGTCGTCTTACTTCTCTTAGACGACGTCTTACGGTGTTGGCTCTTACTGGTCCTTGTCTTCCGACGACTGCTGCACCTGTTCGCGTCGCTGGGCGGAATCTGTCACGCAGACGAGTGAACCGGATGTAGCGGTCTTGAGCCTGGGTTGTAACGCGTTGTGGACCAGGACGTTGACGGTCACGTGTTGATCAGGTAACTCGAACACGTTCCACCAACCTTACAATAGTGGACTGATGATAATTGAAGTGTCTGGCAATAGCACGTGTAGACATGCCAGCCCTGTCAATTCCGATGGCTTCATTCCGTTGATTTTCAGTAAGTCTCGGCATCTCTAGTTCGATTCCTTCACACGTCCAACAACAAATTACGACAGATTGACGACAGATTGACGTTTCACAGTTCATGTACTGCACTTTAAGTTGAAAACATGCTTTTAAAGGGCTCACACACAATGCTGCACGTGAATATTGGTTTTTTTTATGTGCATCTCGTGCAATTTTTTTTTGCACACGGACCGATATTTTTTGCGTTTGGGAGCATTGTGTGAAACAATAGTTCATAGTATTGCATAATATTATACATATACAAAACCACCTAGTAATAAAATATTTGGGAAAAAAAAGTGATGCGTTTTCCATGGCGCTCAGTATATTTAAAATGTCTTCTTTTTTCACATTTCCCAATACTGGGTCCAATACTTCAGTCTTTAGGGCATACAATCAAAGAGTTGGCCCGGGGCATCAATAAACCTTTGCCTGCCTCTGATAAGGGGGTATTGAGGGTTTTTTTGTTTGCTTTTAAATTATATATTACAATCTATTTGTAGAAGTAAAGTACCAGAAAAACTAATTCCAATTGCAGAATTTATAGCTGCTGATTTTGACAATTTACTGGAGCAACCATACGCTGATGAACTCAGAGGTAAGGTTGTTTTGTGCACATTCATGTGTATAAATTATCTGATTTAAAACAATAGTCGTCTTTATACTGTTCATAATCCTTACACAATCATAATACATGTATCTAAAAACCATCATTTTTGAATAACCCTGTGGGTGGAAATATTTTTAAAGACGCGTGTTGAATAACGGAATGACGAGTGGTAGAAAATTGGAAAGATATACATGAAGTGGGGTTTCACGTCCTCCTTTTTTGCGCCAACCGGGATAACAATGACGGTTACGTATAAACCATGCAGTGTGCTATGGAGGAGAAATTCTTCCCAGACAGCGGCGAGAGGACCTACGCCTACCCTTTTCTTTCAAACGTGACGGGATTATATTTCAGGTATTGCTTTAACGGCCAACATGTCACTGGGCGATATTGTATTAACCAATCTCGTTTATGATATATCAGCTTTCTGTACCAGTATAACAATGCAGGATGCCCATGGCCAAATTTGGCATGCCCGAAACCTTGACTACAGCTTTACGGATATACTAAGAAATTTGACAGTCAGAATTGATTTCATGAAGAACAAACAGGTAACAAAATAGATTATAAATATCTATAACCAAAAATCTGAAGCCAGTTACCCTGCACACCCACTCATATAGAGGGTTTACTAAATAGAGGATATTTGTCGTTTTAGAGTGAATAACATATTTTATTTCATCGAATAGCAAGAAAACTTATATTTTCAGCATTCGTGAAAATATAAACGTTTTCTTGCTTAGAGATGAAATAAAATATGTTATTCACGACAAAACGACAAATGTTCTATTTATTTTATGATTTTACAATCATTTTAGGTAAAAACAACATGGACTACTGCTAGCCAGTGGAATAACACTTTTATTTCACTGATAAAACGCGGTATTCCACTACTGTTCATAAAATAAAGTCTCTTATTTACCACTGTATTGTCATCCCAATTGTCAGGCAGTGTGTGTACTGCTCAACAGCTGGTTAACGGGGAGGGGGGGTTGAGAAGAGCCAAAGTGCTGCTTCACACAGGCCTTTGGGAAATTTCAAACTCTCATATCATTAACGCCAACAGCCACAAACTGAAGAGTAAGCTTCCATCATTTTTATACCAAATCTGCTATTTTTAAATGAAACGATTCAGTCCCCATTCAAATGCTATGTGACTATTTTGTTTGTATATGTCGATTACTTTATATAAATAAATTACTTTTACAGTATCTTTGGCTGGGTATTAATTGGGTGTATAGGGTTTGGTATTATTGTTAAAGCATCCTATTAATGACAGATATATATTATATTACAGGTATCATATTCAGTAGTAACATATGCTGGTTATGTTGGAGTTTTAACTGGACAAAGACCACATGCATTTGCTATAACTCTGGATGAGAGGGGTGATGTTTATTATAACTCTTTTTACAACATGTATGGCTATATAACTATATATAGAGACACCTGGTTAATGTAAAGAGGCGACGCATATTGTCTACTCCGATGGCTGACTTCCCTCACCCCCACCCCTTCCTACCAACCAACGTGTACTGAATAAGCTTCACCTGTCACTTATTCCTTTATTTTTCTAGACCTTGTCACTGTAGCGTTCAGGATAGAGTTTGACTCCATTTTTGTAGCATCCACGATAAAGCAATAATCTATTCATTAACTGCAAATTTCATAATTAAATACGGTACCAAATACAAACTGAATAGTAACGTTCAGCTTCTTGTCAAAATAGTCATTATGGATATAGTTTAAACCCCCTTCTACTCGTGGACGCTTGAAAATAAAGGTTTTTTTAAGTGAAGTCCAATTCATTAACGAACTGTAAAGTTTTTGTTAATCACTGAACGTTATGATCACTAATTTAATCTTTTGAATTAGCAGATCGCCCCATCATCGAGAGATATAAAATGTATGATATTATTGTTTATTATTTGTGTTGATTTACAGATCAGGGTGCTTGGTATGATAATCTACTAGTAGCTTTATTAGAACGTAAAGTAAAACCAGTCAGTTTTCTTATCAGAGATGTAAGTTAGTAGATTATTTTAGGTAATGGGCCTTCTAGGCACCATGACAATCTTAACGCATGGACATGCTAGGCAGTTGCCCGGGGATCCCACGAGCATAGGGCCCCTATGCTAAATCTATTTATTTTGTGACTTGCTGTACAGCATGATTTTTAATGTGTAAAAACAGATTTTGTTTGAAGTACCAATACAATAAATGTATGTTAAATTTTATCGACTATTTACATTTTATTTGTGAATGGTTGTACAGGTAGGGGTCTCGGTGCACTGCTTTGCCCGGGGAGCTATAATGCTGTTAAGACGGCACCCATAAGAGAAGTATTTAAGGGGAAGTACTCCAAACTGTGTGTGTATATATACATATATCAAACGAAATACCAATTATACAGCACTGTATAACGTGATCATGAATATTAGCATTCACAAAAAATAAATAAGTCGTTTTAGAATTAAACCCTTTTTATTTATATATTTAGACACTGGCACAGGCTAAAGATTTTACAGCAGCTCTTGAAATGATCAATTCTACTGTAACAGCGGCAGAAGGATATTTTATTGTTTCTGGTGCTAATAAAGGCGAAGGGGCGGTTATTACTAAAAATCGAGTTGGTCATAATGATATCTGGAGATTAGATCCCACTAATGGACGGTACAGATAGTTCATTAATTTTAGATTTATTGATTTTCAGATTGATTGTCGGATTGTCGTCTATAGACTAAATCCTTGATTGTCGTCTATAGACAAAAATCCTTGATTGTCGTCTATAGGCAAAATTCTTGATTGCAATTTCTGTGCCCACAGCTATTACTTTATTCGGTTTTTGTTTTCTAAAAAGTAAATATAATTTGTGGTATTGTTTCTTAAGATTTACTGTCAACACCCACAGAATTTTTCATCAATTGTCTTTTTTTCAGGTGGTTTGAGGTAGAAACGAACTATGATCATTGGACTTCACCTCCTGCAAGTGATAACCGACGGTAAGATTTAACAACAGTGTTAAACGACGGTAACATTAATATAACACGATGGTAATTAAAAACAATATAACGTGATGGTAAGATTATACACAGTATTAGACCATGTTAAGATTACAAATATAAAGTGACAGTAAGATTACAAATATTACACTACGGTAAGATAACTACAAATAATAGTAAATACGGCGGTAAGATTAAACTACAACAATATAAAACTACGGTATTTTCAACACTACCACATACGATAAGATTACCATATAAACCTATGGTAAGATAATAATATAAACCTATGGTAAGGTTACAGTATAAACCTACGGTAAGATTGCAATATAAACATGTGTAAAGATTACCGGTACGATTGCAGTATAAACATACGTTAAGATTACAATATAACGGTTAAGATTACAGTATACACCCGCGTTGAGATTACATATAAACCTGTGTTGAGGTTACAATATAAACCCACGGTAAGATTACAATAATAACCTAGGTAAGATTTCAATATAGACCTGAATTTAAGTTACAATACACGGTAAGATTACTATAAACATGCGTTATGACTACAATATGAACCTTCGCTAAGGTAAACATACGGTAAGATAACACTTCTACAGTGGTAAGATTACAATATAAACCTGCGTTAAGATTATAATATAAACCTACGGTGAGATTACAATAATAACCAATGGTAAGATTGCAATATAAACCTGCGTTAATATAATATAAGCCCGCGTTAAGATTGCAATATAAATATGTGTTAAGATTACAATATAAACCTACTTCAAAAGAGGTAAGGTATCATTGTTTGTGTTAGTAAACAGGCCATTTAGATAGACAAACAGTGGACGAAGGATGCAACCCTGGATCTGTCCTTGGATTTTTGTACAGATCGGCCTTTAAAGTGGCAAGGGCAGTCAACCTTAATTTCGGACTATGTGACTCGGTGATTTTGTGTCCGATTAAACCAGCTAATGTTGCTTGTTGTGGAAGTGATGACGGGCGATTAAACATGCACTCGTACTCATTTTAGGATGAACTGAGGTTTTTTTTTCCGTCACCGGTGAAAACTCCCAATATTATATACACCACCTTAATCTTCATCGTGTACCTTCATGGTATCAAGCCGCCACCATCATTCCCAATCCACCACGATTACCAATAATATCGACTACAAGTAATTCCTTCAATTAAGATATTTTGTGCAGTACACTTTGAATATAATTTCTTTCTGACTGTTTCAGAGCACCTGCAATTAAGTCAATGAACTCCATGGGACAGAACAATATAACTGTTGATAGTTTATTTAATGTTTTATCCACACCTTTAGTATTAAACAAGTAAGAATTTTAAACATTATAAAATGCTTAAGATATTTCTTTTATTAGATGCAATGATACAGTGTAATGCTATATATTCTTTATTAAATCTTTACATGAAAGGGTGCATCGCTCTATTCTGTGGGACGAAAATTGGTCTAAAAGCACATATTAATGTAATATGAATGTGTATATAAAGTAATTTATATTCATTTTAAAAAAAAATATTGTAAATTCCAATCCATTACGTTTGATGAAATGCGTGAACAGTTAAAATTGAACGACAGTCGTTTACGCCTGCTTAGTCCATTAATTCTACACTTTATTTAAATTATACTTTTGTCATTTGTGAATCAGCCATTACTAATGATTTCCACATTGTCTTATAGGATGTTTTTTTCTTTTTTCGGGGGGTTGATTTGCCGAATGGTTATCGCGTGCACGCAGTATCATAAGGTCTGTCATTGAGTCCACTAGCGTGGTTTCGATTCCCGGTTGTACGTGACCAGGAGTAGGGTCGCCTGTCCAATCTCGTGGGGTTTCTCCGGGTCCTCCGGTTTCCTCCCACTTCTAAAGACCCCTACGCGCAAGCGAATTATTGAAATAAAAGTGAACCATATGTTAGTCCCGAAATGACCTAGTTTGTGTCGAGTGGACGTTAAACCTCATTTTTCTCTCTCTTTTCTTTGTTCAATTCAAATAGCGCCCGAGACCATGGAATACACACTCGTGTAGTGATTATAAAATGTTTATTATGTGTTAAATATTGAACAGTAGGATCCCATTTTTTCTCGACAAGATAACAATATTAAATGAAATGGACCAATATTGAACTCTAATTCGTGTTTTTAATTTCGAATATTATGGAAAATATTGAGTTAGAGGTTTAGCTCCCTCAATTTCCAGTGTACCCGACAAATTTTCTCACGGTGATATAGATGTTCGTATGTGGTTCAGCAGTCAAAATCAAATCTTTGGCGCGGAGGAGTTATTAGCACTAATTGACAGTCACACACTTGGCTTAATGACGCTCATCGATGAACAGTTAATAAGTAAAGCCTATGCAGTTTGCGACTTTATAGAGATAACGGGAACCTAGCTATGAGAGCGTAGCTATAGACAAATATTGACAATAAACCCCAACTCTGCTGGCGGCTTATTATGGTAGGGTGCCCCGTGCAGCCAAACTTTTCTCTACAGAAAGTTGAACTTGACACGGCAAATGTGCACGCTTCAGTGGCTTGTCTCGAAGTGATTTCTGGCTAGTCACGTGATGCTATAACCCTCGGAACAAGTGAAATTCTCTACACATCTATCAACTATTACAACTGTAAAATATCTATTGTTGCCGATTCTGAATAGCAGTAATATTTAACTTTTTGGTTGTTACAGCAGCTTTAGAAATTACGTTCGTTTTATTTTTTAAATTGCTTTATCATTAACTATACCGTTAGGAACGGCATCTTTTGGTTTAGTACAAATAATTTCTTGTTGAGTTGCCTAACGACTAACGTACGTGTTTCTAAATTCAATTTCTTGTTCCAGCTTTCTGTTATGTTTCGTAGTCTTGATTATCACGGCCTGTCAATCAGACGGAGAATGGTCGGTAGACTCGTTAAGCGAGGCTAATTTCAAAACGAGGGCACCTAACCTATTTTTTTTATTCAAAAGTGCCAGGGTATTATGACCGACACACGTAACCATCAGTCTATTATTTATTGATGGTTAAATGGTCATAGCTTATTAAGTACAACATGACCGTTTATTTAGTGACTATAACTGTGCGAAACTGATTTAAGGCTTGGTGTATATATATATAAATATTGTGGTGTAATTGTCGAGATATTTGGAGATATTTAATTATGGTAGGGCACCCTAATTATGGTTCTTGCGGGAGACACAAACCTCTATTAATATATGCAATAGTGTTTTTACTGTCTTTTTGATGTCCAATAAAATCTCGATAACTTCATTTTCAGAAAGACTACATACTCGGTTGTTATGTCACCAGCCCAACCAGAATTGATGAAAGTTTTGGTTCGTCATCCAACAACCAAAAACTAAAATCAACTATATCCAGTTATCGATTTTTTCTTAATTACAAAATGTTACGGGTTCAACAAATTGTACAGATTATTAAAATTATATTTAAATATTTTAATATTGCTTCCATTGTTTTGTTGGTTTTACGATGGTGCAGTAGCGCCCATTTAGTGTGGGCACGTATCGTCTTTAATTACATGCGTCTGTCCACCCGATCCGCCTATTATTAGCCTGCTAGTATCAGCAAATTGTTAGTAATTTTATCACGCTTGTTGCAGCGTCAAGGGCAGAATCTGAGCCTCTGGGGGTTGTTGTTAGCCGCTACAGTATAGCAATCTACATGTCTACATATAGAAATTACCAGCAAGGGCCGTATAGTTTTGTTGTTTTTTTTTTCAATAAATAAATCGGGACTTGGAAATCTAATTTTATTCCCATTCTGGTTATTAGCGAAATGCGGACTTCTTTAATAATAAATAACTAAATTACCTGTCGATCTCAGTTGTTATACCCATATTTTACGACGTCTAAAATATTCATGAATAATGCTAAATTAGGGATTTTTTTGTAAGTAGCTTTGCTGCAAGTATTCCTGTCTTCAGGTTATTGCATGCAAGTAATTATGCGGTTAGAAGCGAGGCCTGATTTTAACATAGAAGTGGTATGCTCTATACTGTTTATTCCCACGAAGGCGCAGTTATTGGCCGTAACGGATTAAACGAAGTCATTTTCGACGACTTCGTGGGAATCCAGCTCCTAGGGATTAAAATGGATTAAAAACGTAACAATGGTGTTATAGATTGTTATGATAAGAATTTACACTTTCATAATCCCCAATGCAACTAATTAACCAACATTTTAGCATCATTTTTGGCATAAGAAATAAAAACATAACTACACTATAACAAAAATTAATTTCATTTCGCCAAATAAGACGCCCTGTCTAAATAATCGACTAAAGTCAATTCCTCTTCCTCGTGTTTCCCATTTAATTCCTGGGGCTGGCTTTGGATTTGAGCATATTTATATCTCTTCCTTGGTGGTTCCTGTCCCCCAGCATACTGAACGATTCTAATCTCATTAATATTTTGTTCTTGTTGTAAAAATGTGATCATTTCAAAAACATTCGGATGGGCTTTTCCAACTAGTTTCTTGATTCTTGCATGCCATCCTTCCAGGGTGTTGTTGGTTCTGTGCTCCTCTGTGTCGTAGTAATCCCAGTGATGAGTTGCAAATTATTCCTCGAACCATTGATTTGTTATGTAGTCGGCCAATTCTGTTACTTTTGGATTGGCTGGCATTTCTGCTATAATGTGAAGGTATGCATCTTCAACCTGCAAGTAAAATAGAATTGGTAAATATATTTGATAACAAATACGAATGTGGTGACCACAGTGGTCAAAACGTTCCACGTCTACTCCAATAAGAGAAGTCGAGAGCCAATACAGCAAGACATAATATAATACACCTAACCTTTCTACTGTTACCAACGGTAGAGTTGCAAACCTCCGTACCACCTTCTGTATTTCTTCATCTTCTCTATATTGCACTTGCAGACCTACATTCTGTGGGTGTGTTCCTTTGATCCTTTGATTGATCTTAAAACTATAGTCTGTTTAAAAGTAGTCACTCAAGAACTGTTCACTAGTGTTCAGCGTTAATGAGCTCTTAATCCCTCTTAATAAAATGTATTAACCAACTAATTAATGACATTTTGAACACAGTTCATGCCGGCGTTATGATTTCAAACATGAATTCAATTCACTATATTAATATAAATAAGATGGTCGATCTGTGTCGAAATTATATTTATTTTAAAATGGCAAACGTTCAGGTTAATATTCGCTTATCTCCAATAATCGAGGTGGCCGATATTTAATACACAATGGTTACAAGTTCAGTATAAAGTCAAGCAGACCAAATGCCGTCCATTGGAAATGTTCAACAAAAACTTGTCCAGCTACTGTAATGCATTTTTATATGTGTAAATCATTTAATGTTATTTAATAAATATTAAATTTGTTAAAATCAATATATTTTTATATGGGTACGCTATTTAATGTTATTTAATAAAAGTTAAATTTGTTTAAATCAATACAGTTTTAGTCTTAAAAAAGATATGGACTATAGTTTATAACACCATTGTTCTAGGATTAACTCTGGATTAGCGGCAAAATTTGACATCAAAGCCTGCCGGCTAAGTGGGAACACCCCATTCTGTGTTCGTCTCCAAATTAAGATTCATATTGAATACTTGGATAATTTGATGATTTTAATCATTAGTTGCCAATTTGGTGAATAAAATTCAGAGTGAACATAAATTCATAAAATCTTTAACACCGTTAATTGGGTCCTAATAACAACATACCTCTCTTCAAACGAAAGCCGACAAGTCGATATCTGCGCCTTCGTGAGAAGGCTTAATTTTGGTCACGCTCTGTAACTGCGCCTTCGCGGGAATACACCCTCTATACTGATACCTTGGTTGAGACAACCCCAGTGGCGAGGGTCACTATTAGTTAACTGAACAGTCAATCTTTATTTCAACCCCATCTCACTCCCGTTGTATCTATGACACTCTTTCCTTGTGCCCCTTATCCATCAAATTATTTAATAATTCACGGCTATCAGTTATGACTTGTTGAAACAAAGGAAATGTATGGGGAAGAGGTAAAATGAATAGGACTCATCCTGTCTTTCAAGATTCTTTGTTCGTTAACATATTTGTTGAGTTTCCTCAGAATGGGACAATTGTAGCCCCTATTGGATGGCCTACAAAATTCACACATATTTCACATTTTGCATAAAAAGCAGGGGCTATAGCTCTAGAATGTAAGATCGGATGCTTACCAAAGTCGAACTCCTCCAAGAACTTTTGATCCTTAACACATAGTTTAAGCTTCACCTCATGAAGGTCGCCTGTCCAACCTCGTGGGTTTTCTCTGGGTCCCCCGGTTTCCTCCCACTGCTAAAGACCCCTACGCGCAAGCGAATAATTGAAATAAAACTGAACCATGTGTTAGTCCCGAAATGACCTGGTTTGTGTCGAGTGGACGTTAAACCCTCCTCTCTCTCTATCTCTCTCTCTCACTTCCTATATGCGCCAATATCGAAAGAAACCGAGATCTTTCGGTTATAATAAACATACATAGTCAGTTTGATCAGGGTGACCCCCCCCCCCCTTAAAAAAACAAAAAAGAAAAGCAGAACCCATACACATTTTATAAAATTCTACAAAGGTCACACAGATTTCAAGAAATTTCAGAAGAAAAAAACCGTGCTATGCTGTATACTGATCCTTGGGTTAAGAGTCCCCCAGTTGCGAGGGTCGCGATTAGTTAACTTTACTGAGCAGTCGAATATTTCATTCCATCTCATTTCCGTTGTATCTAACATTCTGTAGCAGGGGCTAAAGCTCTAGAATGGAAGGATTCATGCGTACCAAAGTGAAACTCACCCAAGAACTTTTGATCCTGAGCACATAGTTTAATTTTCATCTCATGAATTGGACAAATATTGTCGCCTCAGGAAGGTCCACAAACTTCATTCATATTTCACAATTTGCGTAAAAGGCATTTGCCATAACTCCATAATGGAAGGTCCGAAGCGCACCAAACTTGAACTCACCCAAGAACTAGTGATACTTAAAGTAGCTAAGTCCGTAACTCAATATCATCCAAAATCTTCGACATTGAAAACACGAATTTTTTTGCAATTTAAATCAGCATTGGTTGTGGTCTTACCTGGAAAAGATGGGCTTCTGATATCCAATATTTAAGACAAAATAAACATTTTACCATTGGTACACGAATCGTGTACCATAATGCGTTTCAGCGCCATTTGTAACATGGTGCTCAAAGAATGAGGCTAGAAATATTCCACAAGTCATGTCAAACGATGATGCCATATTCTTACTTGGAGCGCATGCGCAATATATACTATCGGTGTTGACTGGAATAACAAGACGCTAGAAACTGTCTTTCGGCTGAGACTTCTGGCGTTTTTCGCCGAACATAACTGATGACAATTCACAGTAAAACGGAAACGATTGAATGTAAAAGAGTTTATATAAATTCATATTACATTATTATATGTGTTGCGACCCATTTGTGCCAATTTCTAGGCCCAAAATATTAGCGATTTCGATCCTTTAAACACTCGTTTTAAGTTTCATCGAAATCGGATAAAAAAAATTGTTACAACCTTGATATTACATACACAGTTAAAAATATTAAGGCAGTTTACACCAGTTCAGGTGGAAACTAGTTGTCAGCAAAATAGGGATAACTCCTAGCCTTTAGTGGTGTAAACCATAGAACTAAATGTATTTAGTTCTATGTGTAAACCGATAACACCCAACTAGTGTAGAACATTACACCAATTCAGGTGGAAACTAGTTGCCACTTCGAGTAGTGTAACCTGCCTGATGCACCCAGACAGTGTAGTGTTACACCCGTGGGTGTAGATTAGGACCCCCAAGGATGGTTTGTAAATTACACTTCCATTTTAATTATTACACAAACGCAGGTGTAATTCGTTTTGTTAGATATTTATTTCAAGTCAACGACTTCTATGTTCAGAAAACTTGAAATTGGCTATCGGTCTCTATGATAATTAGTATAGGGAGGGCGTTTATTTAGCCCCACCCAGATTACATATAGACCGTCGGCTACTTCGCTTCATTTTACAACGACATTAAATTGACAAATACCCATCAGACTGATTCAAATTCAACTGCTGTTAGACAATTTGTATCAATTTACAATGAATATAAACCATATCCTTACAATTTAGCCGAATAATATAGTTTATTCATTTATGCACCTCGCCTGAATTAAGAATTATTAATTAAGATATTGTACTTGGTAATATTTTGGAACATTTACACGTCTTTAAGTGTAGACAAGCTAAAATAAACATTCTAAAATGAGTTAAGTTGTGTTACTAGTGCAACAACACCATATTTTACCCCCCCCCCCCCAAAAAAAAACCACTTAAATTGGAGTACACAAATACTTTTGTAACGCAAGATACGGTGTAAAATTGACACCTTATTCGGAGTAATATTTCCCTAAAATAATTACACCTGTTGGTGTAAATGCTATAAAACGCTT